ACACACACACACACACACAAAGGGCATTTAGAAGCAATCAGCCCTAGGACACGACGGCCCTTGAGATCAGAAGAACTAGATGTTGCCTGCCTACCAATGCCAACCACTCAGGAAAGGATCAAATCTGGAGATCCTGGATAGAGTGGGAGGGAAAACGTGAAACATAATCCAGAAACTCAATAATGACCAGAATTACTGGTCAGATGAAATCTGATGAGACTCCCAATACTATGGCCCTGGAATACATTCTGCACCTGGAATAAAATTCAACCCCAGGTGCAGGCTCTCAGCCCAATAATTAACAAGATGTACATGCAGATCACTCAACCCAGGATGACGCATCCACATACTCAATGGTAATACATCCCTTACAGCAATAGACCATGGGACACCAGAGGACCAACACTCAAACTGAGGAAATGCAGGACAAACAGGAGTGCATAAATATGACGGGCACAGGGGGAGGGTTGCAGGGTAAGGAGGGGAGGAGGAGACTGGGTTAGTGTCGGATATGGCGAATGGGGAATGAAACTAAATGTACGCGTTACATTGAACGTAAAACAAGGTCTTAAAAAAAAAAGAATATTCTTAGGCAATAATATGTTTATCTTCTGTATTTTTCAAACACTTCATTTTTTTCTATGTATAGGTATAGCACAAATATAAATGTGTAATTAGGTAATGTATGTGTAAATATATATGTGTGTACATATATAACATGTTATATATATATATATATATATATATATATATATATATATATATATATGTTTTCTATATAGCATATGAATGTTAACTAAGGAGACCTGGTGGCATAAGGGTTAAGCATTTAGCTGTTAACTGAAAGGCTGCAAATCGAACACATCCAGAAACTCCAGAAGAAAAGACCTGGCGATGTACCCCTGTAAAGATTACAGTTTAGAAAAGTATACAGGGCAGTTCTACTTTGTCAAATGGATCTTTATGAGTTGAAAGCACCTAACAACAACATGTGTCACATATATACACATATAACATATATACACATATAACAGATTTATTGCTACATACAGCATATGAATATATAGCATATGTATGTCACATATATGAGCTCTGGTGACATAGTGGGTAAGGCGTTTGGCTGCTAACCACAAGATCAGTGGTTCAAACCCACCAGCTGTTCCACAGGAGGAAGATGAGACAATCTACTTCCATAAAGATTTATAGCCTTTTCCAATGGGGTCAGAATCAACTCAATGGCAGTGGATTTGGTTTTTGATGGGCATATCATATATACAGGAGCTCTGGTGGCGTAGTGCATAAGGCATTTGACTGCTAACCAGAAAGCTTGCAGTTCAAACCCACCAGCCACTCCTTGGAAGGAAGGTTGAGCAATCTACTTCCGTAGTGATACTGCCTTAGAAACCCAAGGAGGGGTTGCTATGGGTCAGATCCAACTGGATGGCAGTGAGGTTTTTTTTTTTTTTTTGGTATCATATATACACCTCACACAAGAAACACATATATTAATATGTCTATATGGCACTTGAATGCTAACCAGAAGGCTGGCGGTTCAAGTCCACCAGCCACTCCTCGAAAGGAAGGTTGGCCAATCTACTTCCTTAGCGATACTGCCTCTGAAACCTAAGGAGGGATCACTGTAAGTCAGGTCTGCCTGGACGGCATATAACAACAACATATGACATATACATGAGTACACACAAATATAACACGATATGCATGTTACACACATGTATGTTAATTATAAATTGTGATCTATGTTTGTCACACATACATATACCGAGAGAGTGAGAAAGCTAACACTGATCTCTATGGCTGAGAGTTAGGTATCTTAACTCCATTCTGTGATCACAGATTCAAACGCTTCCTCTGGCTGGCTTGCCAAAAATCCAGGCCTGATCATAGGTTATCTAAGCCGTAAAGCATGAAAGTACAACACTGAAGGAAAAAAAAATAAGTAATACTCTCCTACTGACAAGCAGCATCACTTTTATATAAAACAGCTATAAGTAATTTTGTAAGCATGAAAGTCTCAATTATAAATATTTATATTTTCTGTAATCAATTTAGTTTTATTATTTAAAAATGAAGACCATTATCTCACCTTGCCATTGATCCATTTCTTAGGATTTTCATCCCGGAAATGTTGATGTCCATAAGAATCAGCACGATACTTACTTGATGAACGTATGGATGGTATATATTTTTCATTTTTATGGTATGAAGAAAATGGCAAAAACCTGAAAGATACAATGGTTAGGTGATATTTTTAATTTAATATCTAGAGATATTTGAGTTTTAAAAATCAGGATTTAGAGAAGTTGTGTAGTATAGTGAAAATGATACATGGTTTGAATCGGAATACTTGAATTCCACACTTCAACCTGTACCATTTACTATCTCTGTCACTGTACTTTCATAAACGTTCATTTCCTATTCTGAAAATGGAGATAATAAAACTTTCTTCAGAAAATTTTTGTTAGGCTCAAATATTTTGTAAATAAAAATCCCAAAACCAACTTCATCACCATTGAGTCAATTCCAACTCACAGTGACCTTATAGAACAGAGTAGAACAGCCCCACAGGGTTTCCAAGGCTGTAATCTTTACAGAAGCAGACTGCCACATATTTCCCTTGTTAAGTGGCTAATGGATTCAAACCTTTCAGGTAGCAGCTAAGCACTTAACCACTGAGCCACCAGAGCTCCTCCTTATAAATACTGACAATGTCAAATATTAAAATTATTAATTAATTATGCTAAATAATTCAAATTTTATATGTAAGGAAAATGTTCTTAATTTTTAAAAATAGTATCTTCCAAAAAACAAGGACAGATATATAGGAAACGCTCACTGAAACTGATTTTCTTCAAATCTTATCATGAAAAATGGAGGCATTTTAGGTAAAAGTTATGAATAACAGGCTTTCAAATCAACTAGACATGTCCCATCTCAACTTGTGCTTGCTGGCTGTGTTATTTCATGTAAGTTAGCTGATTTCTAGAGACCTTATTTCCATATAGAGTTGTTTTGGAAGAAGCCTTGGTGGGGCAGTAGTTGAGAACCTGGCTACTAACTGAAAGGTCAGCAGCTCAAACTCACCTGTTAACGAGGAGTGAACAACTTAATATAT